GGGGGGGGTGACAGGGACAGTTCAGCACCGCCTCATGTATGCCCCTGAGTAAAACAGCACATACATCACCCTCAGGCTCCAGGAACGACCACCCGCCTTGCTCGAAGAACCCCTCAGGGTCATCCACAATCGTTTTCATTATCTTCGTCCAGTTCAGGGACTGTACACCCTCCGTATACTTCAGGTCACAGGAGCTGCAGGGCAGACATCGACAAACTCTCACACCCAGGCAGCTCTGCTTTCTACACAGCACCACACTCCCACACACAGGAAAACTCCCTCTACACACACTGTCCCCACTCCCCACCGCCCTCCCCACCATCAAACACTCCCAGGGACGGGGACGGGGACGGCGTGGGATCGGGGACAGCGCGGGGTCGGGGACGGCGACGGCAACGGCGTACGATCGGGGGGGCAGGGACGGGGGAATGGGGACAGCGCGGGGTTAGAGGAATGGGGTAAGGCCCAGATGCCTACTTGAGCCACTCCTTGATGGGGTCGAACGAAGCCACAGGGATGGCGTTGATCATGGTCACTTTCTTGCTGTAGTCCTTGTAGACGATGACCATGTCGAAGTTCTTCAGGTGGAACTGGACCCTCTCAAAGTGAACCAACTCCACCTCGTCCAGAGTTACCACAAACGGGGGCTGGTTGGGGGGGAGCACGACCGAGAGAGTTAGTGTGTGTAAACACCAAGCTTCTTCACCCAGGACCGCACCCCCTCCCCCTGTCACCCCAAACACCATGCCCCCGCGATCCGCACCCACTCTCCCCTCCCCCTGACACCCCAAACCCCCTTCCCGCGACCCCCACCCACTCTCCCCACCACCTCACCCCGTGACATCCCACCCCTGCCCCGCGACCCCCACCGACTCTCCCCACCACCTCACAACCCCGTGACCCTCTCCTTCCCCCACGACATCCCACCCCTCCTCCCCCTTGCGACCCCCAGCAGCCCCACGGTCACACTCACCCACTCAGTCACGTTCACAAGGGAACTGCTGGTTGGCTGAAGCATGCAGGTGCTTCTGTAAGGGGCTCCGTTGAACCTGGAGAGGGAGAAGGGAACCAGAGCGGGAGAGAGACAGAACGCTTGAGACACAGAGAGACGGGAGCGGGGATGGTGTGGGGGGAGAGAGAGAGAGACAGAGCGCACACAACAGTGTGTAAGAGACGGAACACGGGCGCACGGGAGAGAGAGGGAGGGAGACAGGGAGACGGAGAGAGTGGGGGAGAGAGAGGGAGGGAGACGGGGAGAGTAGGAGAGGGAAAAGGGGCGAGGAAGAGAGCGCGGGAGGCAGACAGTGTCCTGATATTGCGTGTGTTAAGAAGGGGACAGACACAGGATCAGTTTTATATCGGTAGAGCTGGTCTTTGTGGACGTGGTGCTATCAGGGGAATCTGGGAGGCTGCTCGTAAACACCTTAATCAGGTATTCCAACTCTCCCCAAGCAAAGAGGCACCGGGATGGGAGGGGCAATGAACAAACATTTAAAAAACAGTGACGGGGGGGGATACCAGCGACAAAATTGGGAACAGCGTGTCCGTCAGCGAGTGCGTGGGCCTCGAGGCTTCGCTGATCAATAACAAGGGGCAGAGCTGGGTTAAGGTGGCTGGTTTCAGGCTGGCAATCTGTAACTCAGTGGAGTGCTACAGGGCCATCACTGCTGGGACCACAATTATTTCCTGTATATAGTCACAGAGCCGTACAGCGCGGAAACAGACCCTTCGGCCCAACCCGTCCGTGCTGACCCAGATATCCTAAATTAATCCAGTCCCATTTACCAGCATTTGGCCCCTATCCCTCTAAACCCTCCCTATCCATGTCCCCATCCAGATGCCTTTTAAATGCTGTAACTGTACCAGCTCCCACCCACTTCCTCTGGCAGCTCGTTCCATACACGCACCACCCTCTGTGTGAAAAAGTTACCCCCTCAGGTCCCCTTTCCCCTCTCACCTTAAACCTATGCCCCTCTAGTTTTGGGCTCCCTTCCCCCTGGGGGGGAAAAGACCTTGTCTATTTACCCCATCCATGCCCCTCACGATTTTATAAACCCCTATAAGGTCACCCCCTCAGCCCCTGACGCTCCGGGGAAAACAGCCCGAGCATCTCCCTGTAGCTCAAACCCTCCAACATCGTTGTAAATCCTTTCTGAACCCTTTCAAGTTTCACAACATCCTTCCTATAGCAGAATTGAATGCAGATGGAATGTAATGTTGGGGGTGAAGTGTGAGACTGTTCACTTTGGCAGCAAGAGGAGAGGAGCTGAGCTGAATATTATTTAAATGGAGAAAGACTGAAGAAAGCTCTGGATCAAAGGGACTGAGGGTGAGGGGGTACTCCTCACCCAGCAATTACAAAAAGCTAGCATCCAAGCTCAGTGGGGAACGGGAATGACATTACCTTCTCTCCGAGAGGGTGAGCGAGTCTATGGGGTTCTTGACCGCATGGAGGACAGGGGCTGTCGGGGCTGGGGCACTGAGGATGTTCGAGGCCGAGATAGAGAGAGGGAGAGGTTTGTAATCGGGAAGGGGGATCGAGGGGGAGAAAGGGCAGCAGACTGGGAGGTGAGGACGATCAGATCAGCCATGATCTCAGTGAATGGCACAGCAGACTCAAATGGGCTGAAAGGCCTGATGGTTTAACCCTGGGGGAGTACGAACATCAGCTGGGGTGTTAACGGGAGGGGCAGGGCGTGGGTCTTCGGTGGTGACAGGGAGAAACTTACCCCAGGTCCCGAAATGGGACCTCGAACTCGAGCTCCTCCTTGGTCAGGGCCTCCACCTTCTCGATGAAATTTTTGAAAGCTGTTTTCAGTTTGTGCCTCATCTCCCTCTCCAACTACAGAGGCAGAGAGAGAGACAGTTCGTGTCAGCCTCTCAGCTTTCTATCCAAACCCCCCCTTCGCCCCGGACCCCGGGTACCCACCCCGACCCCCCCGCCCTTCACCCAGGACCCCGGGTACATACACTGACCCCGCGACCCTTCACCCTGACCCCACGACCCTTCACCCAGGACCCCAGGTACATACCCTGACCCCACGACCCTTCACCCAGGACCCCGGGTACATACACTGACCCCGCGACCCTTCACCCTGGCCCCCAGATACATATATTGACCCCGCGACCTGTCACCCCTGATGCATACACTGACCCCGTGACCCTTCACCCTGGATACATACACTGATCGTGTGACCCAGTGACCCTCACCCCGACCCCTCAGCTTCAAACAGGAGTAGGCCATTCGGTCCTCACGCTGGCCGTGCTATCCTATAAAGGTCAGGGCTGATCATCGCCAGGCCTCAGCTCCTCATCCA